ATCTGCTCCTGTTGCGCCCCTTTGTCAAATGTTAGAACTCAATGTGGCCCACGAATCAAAAAGTTTGCCCACCCCTGGTCTAAGTTGTTCCAATTACTGCAGCAGGGAGGCAGGCAAGTAAGTGGAATGGGCAAGAACTGTGGCTGTGAAGTTGTCGAGAGGCCCAACGTCCTGAGGAGAGGATTATTTTCAGAGGTAGAAAGTGGCAGCCTGGTGAGTAGCTGAGAAACAGAAAGCACAAGGTAAGTTAAAGTAATTTTCTATGAGTCACACAAAACTGTGGCGGCCTGCACTAACTAGGGTTAGCTGAAGATCTGGCGAAGAATGGCTGAGAAAACTGGCCCTAAATACCGACAGCTTGATTACCAGACGGTGTGGAAAATTCGTAGGAATGAGGTGGCTGCTCCCAGAGGTGACACTGCCGGCTCTAATGCCGGCTGAAATTAACAGCAACATTTTTCCACATTTAGCTCAAAACCTTACAAAAACATGTTTTTTTGAGTCATGTTTTTTTACAACATTTAGTAAAATATTTGTAACTTTTTATATTTAAAGCACAATTTCAAATGTTAAATCTAAATGTCAAATATTAAATCTAAATATTATATTTAAATCTAAATGTTAAATCTAAATGTTAAGTGTTAAATTTAAATGTTACAGGAAACTAAATATTTAGCTAACATGCAAATTTATTGTACGGACCAACGGAAATACCAAAATAAAAGCTTTACAAAAACCTCCGGTGCAAAAGTGTGCCGGTAGTGGTCAGATTGTGTCTGCTCTCTCTTGATGGTCACTTCTAACACCATAAGCGGCTTCACTTCTTGCCTACCAGCACGTCCAGCGATTTAGCTGAAAACATCGGAAGATCCGTTTTGTCGGCCATCCAAAGGTTCAGCAGTAGTGGACTCTCAGCAGCTGCAGTCTTCACTTCAGAATCGCTGCAGCACATGTCCAGCTAAATCGCTGGACATGCTCGTAGGCAAGAAGTGAAGCAGCTAACTAATAAAATGAGATAGAAATGAACATTGTGGAAAACTGTTACTTTAAGTTACATAGGACAAAAAAAAAAAAAAATCGCAACATTTTAACAGATATTGTTTACTGCAGATGGTCTCAAATATGCTATGAGTACCTTTACAATGTGATGTGTAGTGTTGATGACATGCATCTTCATAAATCTCTATACATCTGAGACTTGCTGGTCTTGATGAGTTGACAACAGCAATGCTAATGGTTGACCTTTCTTTCAACTCAAGCTGTTTGTCTTCCTGCTGATTAGGCTGGCTTGCATGTCTAAAAGATTATTTATTCCCCTTCTCGTTTCATCTCCATCTGAAGTTTCCTGATATGCCAAAGGGGATGTGATTCAGTGTAAGATCTGTTGAAGAGCATTACAGTGATAAGTTTATTCCAAAGACTTGAAAGGGAATGCCATAATAAGCTGTCTGCCCCAAAGTATTTTAGACTGTGAGAGTGTGTAAGAATTTTAATCACATCGCTGTGTTCTCCAGCACATTTAAGTCCTGCCAACAAATGACATCTTTTGCAGGACAAATGAGAACTTTACGGTATATCTAGTTTTAATATGAAGACAATGAATATTAAGCTACAACGTCTCTCAGCATAGAAGATAAATACCTAAGGATATGATTCAATCCTGAACAGTATGTAAGTGGGTTGGTTGGCAGCACCTTGGCTGCAGCCAAGGAGTACTTGGGCTCATTTTTATAGCAATTTGCTATGAAGCAAGTGTGAAAATCATCCAGCAGGACAAGTGTTAAACAGCATTTTTTATTTTGCTTTTCTTCCCACTCTAAAACAAAGAACATAAAGCAGTTGCAGAGGTGTATTTCAACCTGTTGAAGTGCTGTATTAATATAGTAGGTAGGGAAACTGGGTCAAATCATATTCATACAGGACATTCGGTACATGACGTACAGTGGTCCCTCGCTATAACGCAGTTCACCATTGTCAATCAATCTCGTGCCTTGTCTCCTGTATAGTACAGAATGCGTTCAGCTTGTCAAATTTACATAAATCTTCGATCGCTAGCAGTGTAACTCTGAAGTGCTGTACTGTATGTTTGTAAGTTTTCTCCCCAGCAAACACAACAATGTCAACGAAACACAGTTTTGCACTGTCAAAGGCACCTGTGCTCGCCTTTGGTTTCATTCTATAATACTGGTGTTATGGCCAGTCTAGGCGCGGCCAGACCACAACATAAAGGGTGATCCATCCCCGTCCAACCCCAAGCGGCACTTCACACACTTAATATTTTGTGACAGTGATTTATTTACAATAAGTGCGTTAAACCAAGGAAGGGAGCATATCGTAACGTCAGGGTGAACCCAAGGCCAAAACAACAAACAAAAGGTAACCTATCTCA